TCCACTGTGGCTCCAGCTGCAAGACGGAGCGCCACGTGGGAATCTTCATCAGCCGACACGTCATCTTCTGGGTAGGCTCTTCTAAAAGTGCCCGGCCGGCCGCTTCAAGGCCTGATAACTCTCGGCCAAAGGGCTCCAATGCCACCTACTCGTGATCTTTCCTCGTGCGATCTTGGAATGGAGTTCCCACTTGTCAGGCGGGTCCTGTTCTTCGACGAATCTCTTCCAATGGCTTCTTTTGGCTCTTCGTAGCTCTAGGCGGAAATTCCGCTTGGCCCGACGAAACGCCATATGGAGGGGGCCTCTCTTTCTGTCGCCGATCGGCTCTGTTGATACAGCCACCTAGCTCGTTGGGCCAATTTTTTCTTGTCCGCCACTTCTTGTGTCCACCATGCGGGATCCGATCGGGCAGAGGCACCACGGTACATGTTTCTTGGACCATTTACCAAGCTGGTGGTGAGTATCGCGATCTTATTTTCTATTTCGCCGGTAGTATTGGCGGGCCATAACAAGGTACCTTATTCTTGCAAAAGGTCTTCGCTGACAAGATGCGTTAGGTCCTGTATCGATACGTTTGTAAGGCGTAATCGTTTTTTTTTTTTTTGGATGGTTGCGGTGGTTCCAGGTGCGCGCCACAGGTCTGCCCGTATCCACTCGTGGTGGCGCCACCGTCAATGTCGAATCGACTCTCTCTGCAGTGGAGTGGCGTTGACATCATGAGAAGGTCAATCACTGACTCCCCTTGCGATGCACAGTGTGTCACGGGAGAGTCCTCGCTATTCAGTAAGATAAGTCCTTTATCCTCGGCGAAGTTTAGGATCGCTTCACCTCGGTTATCTAGGCGCGCGTCCCTCCAGGCTGGGTCGTGCGAGTTAAAGTCACCTCCCAGGATGAAGTTTTTCCCTCTGTACTTAGTGATAAGACGTGAGAGTCTAGTGATATCTTCGTCGATATCCCTTCTCCTATCACAGTCCACCGACGCGACGATCATATCTTCGCCGTTCCATCTTCTACGCAGCAGGCCGTGTCATCGTCAGACTCCGGTAGAGACTGTTTTAATGTGTTTGTTCAACACATAGATTGCAGCTCTCGTCGGATATGTCTTCTGGATTTGACTACCCTGGTAGCAAGCCCCATAAGCTCCGTCTAAGCCGAGCTTCCATGGTTCCTGCGCCAAAAAAGAGGTCAATTCCCAGCTGCTGGGTCAGGACCCTTGCCTCAGCCTGGACTGCCTGAGAACTGTGACAGTTCAGCTGGGCTATCTGTAGGCATACATTTTGGGTAGGAGTTGGGCTATTCATCCTACGCTGATTACGCCCTCATCGTCCGTCTGCATCACCCTCATGTCGTCTATTCTGACCTTCGTCTCCCTTGGGTTGATGGCCTGCTTGGTACGCTTCAGTACCTCTGCCTGGTCCATCTCGCTGGTAGAGTCGACGAAGATCAACCTCTCGCGTTCTTCAAACGCCTTCTTCACGTTCTTGTTCAAAAGGGCTTTATAGTATTGGGGAGGAGCTTTGGGCGCTCCGGCTCTCGTCCCTCCTCTTTTCTTTACTACTTGAGCCCAAGTTCCTTCGGCTGCCTCGTGATTGGCTGATGGTTGGACTTTTTCGGCTGTCTTACCTACCTCTTGGCTGGGGTTGGCTGTCCTTCTCGCTTTTGGGCGTGGTTTGGCGGCGTCCTTCTTTTTTAGTTCGTCACCGCACTTATTAAGTTCGCTGACTACACTCCTAATGGGAGAGAATCCTTTCGCCGGGGCGTGCCTTAATTCTTCGCCTATAATGTTTATAGCCGGCACAAGTGCTTCAACCACGACATCGGCCGTATTTCGGGCGTCACCAGTCCTGGCCTGTGCAGCAGCTAGCGCCGCACTTAGGCTGGCGTTTTGTATGCAGGGCTTGGCCAAGCATGCCGACCAGCTTGTCCATAGCCATCATTACAACCTTACTGGCCGGCTTTAAGACATTTATTGGTTGGCTCGATCAAATATTGGGCAAGTTGCCCTCTGACTTATATACTCCAGCAACCTCCATGTTGTCAATAGGGAAGGATGTTTGACTACCTTCGCAAATTCGCGAAGGGAGAAAAACATTGATGCAACTTGAGCTGGTAGGGACGTAGTCAACTGGCTTGTGAACTGGCATGTCCTGTATACGGACGTAACCAGTGACCACAGGCTTATTGTGTTTGAACTACGAGGGAACTCTGCAAACCCCGGAGAAACAACGCAAAAAAGTAGAGTTAGGATAGATTGGGAAAAATTCCGAACTTGCCTGGATATACCAGGTCGGACTCTCCAAGAGAACAACTAGATTTAGAAGACGGTAAATTAGAAAATCGGTTTAGGCAGGCTATAATAGTCTGAAATTAGACCGAGAGGTAGGAAAAATAGGAAACAGAAGTGGTGGACAAAGGAGCTAGAGAAAAAGAAGCTCGTCCATCGACTTAGGAAAATTAGTCAGCGTACTCGGGACGCTTTCGATGTTAGGGTATATAGAAATGCCGTTAACGCTTTTAAACAAGAAATCGTTGCGGCAAAAAGCAAGAGCTAAGCACGCAGAGAGGGGTTGCCCTCAAGGATCCGTTCTTGGCCCGTATTTATGGTTCCTCGTGTTCAACCAGTTGTTAGGGCATCTCAGATCAATAGGTTTCAGAGGTAGGGCCGGTCCGAGAATATATCTGGGTGTCTTGATTGGCGAAAGAATGAGCCTCAAAAGACACATAGAAACGGTTTGTAATAAAGTTGAAACCGTTTGGTCGAAAGTCAAAAGGCTTAGGACCCGATTGGGGTTTATGGGTTCAGAGAACTAATAACACTGTACAAGGCTCTCGTCGAGTCGGGATGGTGTTTCGCGGCCCCCTTCGTCTGGAAAAAAAAATGGAGGCGGTAAACAAACGTCGCCTGCTTTCGTGCCAGCGGAAAATTCTCATGTCCATACTGGGGGCATATAGTACGGTGTCCACAGTAGCCCTACCAGTGATAGCGGGGGTTTTGCCCGTGGATCTGAGGATCTTGAAGGCCAAACTTAGGCACGAGGTCAGAAGAGAGGGCAAAGTTAGGTTAGGGGTTAGGCTAATCGATGAAGACGAAACAGAAATTTTAGGGAATAGAGGAGTAGGGAATGAAATCGACCAATTCCTTCAAGACAAGTGGCAAAGGGTTTGGGAGACAAGCCCACACGGACGCCGTGTGAGGGATTTATTGCCAAGGTGAATTTTAAAAAACCGAACAATGAATGGATCCCGGAAGCTACCCAGTTGGTACCAGGGCACGGGCAGTGCAACGCGTACTTAAACCGTTTTTCATGATCGGACACTGACAGGTGCGAGTGCAGAGACATTGACACTATGGAACATAGGGTCTTCGCATGTGTGTTGGCCGATGGTGTCAGATTTCCGGTTAGGATTGAAATGTTTAGAAAAGGAATTGAGTGGAGCGAGGATCTCCACGTTTGGTTTAGAAACAAGGAGTATAGGGGCCATCTCGGAGATATTTGTAAAAGAACTCTGAGAGGGTATAGACGTAAAAGATAATTGCAACATTATTTAAATCTTATTCAAATATTAAAATTTAGTTAAACCTTACTGAAATTTAAATAGGTAGGGCAGGTCCGTGCAGGATGGCTATCGTGCAGGGGGGGGGTCGCGGATCGCGTGAATATGCAGAACTATTAGGGAGAGTTTTTTTTAGAATAGAATTATTATAGAATAGAATTATTAGGGCCAATTAGGTAGGACTAACAAACAAAAAAAAAATTGTGTCAATGGTGGTGGTAATCTGCTGAACAGAGCAGCAAAGGGACTGTTGTGTAGCTGCTGGACAGAGCAGCAAATGGTCTGTCTCAGGTGTGCTGCTGGACAGAGAAGCAAAAGGACTGTCTGGATGCGGCTTAATGGAGCAGGATCAGTGGAATCCACTGGAGGGTGTAAGGAGGGTATGGCGTAGGGGTTGACGATCCCATCGCCCGGAGCGAAACCGCTTTGCAATCAGTCGATAAAATACTAATTAATTATCTTTACAGGACCTTTACTCAATCCAGCAATCCTATCCCAACGCTTGGTTGCAAGCGGGCTTTCCAGGCAAAAACGATTGGTGTAGCCTAGAGTGCGTGGCAAACACTTTGAAGCACAAGTCGAGTGATGTTGTATATGGCCAAAGGATCATAAGAATTTAGATGATGAAATAGCTAGGTTAGAAAATAGATTCAAACAGGCTATAACAAAGTCAGAAGTTAAGCCGAAAATTAGGAAAAATAAGAAACAAAAATGATGGACAAAGGAGCTGGAGGGAAAAAAGAAGCTCGTCCATCGGCTTAGGAAGATTAGCCAGCGTACTCGGGACGCGTTTGATATTAGAGTATATAGGAATGCCGTTAACGCTTTTAGAAAGGAGCTGCTAAGCAACACGTCGGCTTCGTCATTACAAATATTGCGTCCGAGGACAGCCAAATATACCTAAACTCAACGATTTCCAACTGCCCTGGTGAACACTAGGCCGGTAGGGAGGCAAGACAAAGCGCGGTGCAGAGCTGGCTTCCAGAAGTCTAGCAACTTCTCCAAGTTCGGGCCCGTGCCGTTCCACGCTACCCTACCGGCCCAGTGTGCAGGGTTACATTCGTCTCAATGCATTTTTCTTGAGGTCAGTTTCGTGCTGTGCCACACTGCGGCACCTTAACCGAGTGGGTTAGGCTTCAGATTCTAGAATCGAAGTTATAATTGTAAATAATCTAGATTCTTTGTAAGCAGGTGAATGTAAAGCCTGTCATCATCTGAGAATGAAAATTCAAAATTATTGTAGTAAAAATATTTCTTTTTAAATTTAGTAGAAATGCTGAAGAAAGGTTTGACCCCATCCTCAAAAAAGGCTCAACATACGTACAATATGCAGAAGATAACAGCGAATAAGTTAATATTGTATTGTACTGAGCAAAAATCTAAATAAATATTTAAAGAAATGCTGCATATTAATTATGTTTTTTTATTAAGGTTTATCCATGTATGGCTATAAAATGTAAAACTGTAATCTTTGTCGGTTGTCCACATTTACACAATTTTATACCTTGACTACTTCTATAAACATTCACAGAATGTATGGTATCATTAAACTTACAGCTAACATGCAAATCCGAAATTACAAATGTATAAAAATGATTGGTATATCTCTGTTTTAAGTAAACTGATCAAGGGTCCTCTCTCAAAACACTTTGAATTACTGGCCATAAATCCATCTTACCAATGCTCATCAGTTGTTGTTCTGCTTCCGATGTCAAAGAAACCTCTATTCATGAGCTACGTTTGACCCAAGGTGGTACACGAACAGCCTAAATAAAATAATAATAATAATAAGTAAAAGTGCAATTCCAATCCTACAATACCAAATGGTACCGTAAAGAAACCATGATAAAGGGACAAAAATTATATTAAAAATTCCAAGTACATGCATAGTACACACAATGTTATCAGGTTTGTTCCATCACCAAACTGACGGGCACATGAGCAGTTGATTTTGGGCATTCCAACAAGCTTCAAATGAAAACCGTCAGTCGTTCCAAAACAACTTCAGGCTAACATATAACATTGGCCCTACCCTGTTAGATCAAGCAATGTTAACTCACTGATTCAAGTCTATGTCATCATTTTTCACAATCTAACACGACTGAAGAGTTAACAGGGTTAACACAAAGATCATGAATACCCAATTTTTCTGTATTTTAATTAACTCTAATCCTTTAAAACGAACAAAATATTGTTGTAAGATAATAAATGGACGATTGCCTAAGAAATAACTAAAAATATTAAGAGTGGCCATTTTTTTGGCGTCTCAGTGTAGTTATGTACCTTATTATAGATTGTGGCTACAAATGTCAAATAATAAAATAATTATTATAAATGTCAAATAATAGTAAAATACTCACTTGTGCTAATGTGTGAACAAGCATAGGATTCATTTGTCTGCCTTCATCGGATTCCTCTCCATCTGGAGCCTCTCTGTGACCTGGACACACACCCGGTGATCCAGGTGCAATCGGTTGCTCTTTGACTTCAAGTGTATCCTCTAATACTTCCAAACCCTGCTGCAAAGGATCATCATATTGAGGAATGTAAGGTTTAATATCAAAAACAGGAGTGCCATCAAGCATATCCACTCCGGAAAGAAATATAGTGGAATCTAAAATGGTTAATTACTTACATTAGTAAACAATTGCCAAACAAAATTATTAGTGGATTTATTATTATTATAACCTTCAATGAAGTCAATCTGAGCTAACGACAAACCAATTGGGCAAGGTCTGTGTGGTGATCTGGTTGCAAAAACCCGTTTTTTCACCATTCAGTCTTGGGGGTGCTACTTTACATGTACATGCTTTGTTTCATTTCTGTCATAGTAGAACAAAATACTGAAAATGTTAATCAATCATTAATTACAAATGTAATTAATAATTAAATCTTACATTTATATTGAATATTTTCAACTATTCATCCCAAATTAATGCAGGCAATTTTAATAGTAAGTGTTCTTAAAATGGAAGTTAAAACTTGTAATTATATAATTATATTTAATTCCAACACTTTAGACATTTTTCTTTTGCATTTAAATATTTATTTAGAATAAGAATTTTAAAAATCCTTTTATCCACTATAACCCATATAGATCTAATATGGAATCCCTATAAATTATAAACGTACCTCGCAATGTGCACTTTTTCGGGGGTGTCTGTGGCCACAACGGTTTAGGCATTGACACAGCTCTGATCACTGCAAGGTAAAGGTCCCAGATTTGAATCCAGTGGTCCTACATTCAAACCCGGTAAACTTACAAAAGGATTTAACACACTAGACGGAGGGCGACGGAAATTTCGGGACGAAAAATCTGCCCAACCCGAACAAGCCACATATACAGCGGAAATGAACAGAATGACTACAACCTACAGCCACTTCTGTTATACCCATGTCCATTATCAGTGTGGCGCACCCCTCTACTTTACCCTGTTTTGATCTGCTTAGACAGAACCCAGTGGAAAATTCCGTCTACAGATGCTGGTGCACCAACGGAGCTTGACAGAGACATTACGACGGAAATTTCCTTTCAGTCTGTCGATGGCTGTTTTGAATGTAAGCTTGTGCAGCAGAAATTGACATCACATTCCAAGAGTAAACTATGTTAAATGTAACAAATACTTGACCAAGATTAACATTTTGAATCAGTTAAGTGTACCAAGATTAACAATTTGAATCAGTTAAGTGTGACTATTGTTCTGCTACAAACACAATGGAACATATAATAAAGAGCTGTGCATGTAATGCAGATGGCTAGCATCGTGTGCCCATCTTTTTTAGGGTACTAGATGATGGCAATGGATTGTGGCTTATATTTACAGGAATAAACTCGATCGATTAATGCTTTTGGGGAGTTCGATGGAGTTTTGATCGTGGGTCTGAAAGCTGAATCCATTCAACTACCATGGTCCCCCAAATTAATATTCTTAAGGTTATAAATTATGGCACCAGATGTGCATATCTCTTGACAGGGTTGCTACCTAAAGGTTATTAAATGAAGAATGGCCTAGCATTAGATTATAGCATTTTTTCTAACCGTTACTGAAAATGTATATACATTAAATTTGCAAGAAATATGCGATTTCTAAACTGGTGATATATAAAGAGTAAAGTGTCAGTCTAATTGCTATACAGACAATGGGTTCTGTGAGAACATAGTTTTGAAATTCTTATTTGGATGTCTGATGTTTAGTCTGATCGCAGTCATAAAAGTTTAGCTGCCCCAACCTAAATTTAATTCTAATTGAGGTTTCAAAAAGTTGGTACCTTTAATGTTAATAAAGTTTAAATACATACCACATATGTGAAAAGCCATTAAGACCCTCAAGTGAATGTTCTGGATTAGTAAATATCTCTTTTGAAAGTGTGAGACTGGCACGACTGCTCGTACAAACTCCAGGTTGCCTCGGAACACCTTTCTTCTTAGGGAACATTGTTGACAATATGCCTATAGGCTTTAAATTAATCCCACTGTCCGCTTCGATTAACGGTGGTTGTTTACTAAGTGAACAAGTGTGGCATGTCCATGATCGTAACTTGTCATAAAGCACTTCCATTTCCCTTTCCTGGGAATGCTTCAATGAATTAATTTGGTTTCTACAACAAAACATACAATACAAACTATATTTAAATAAATTAATAAAAGTGGATTTGGGAACAATTCAAGGGCCAACAAGTCATTGAATAAGGGGAAACAATTCAAGGGCAAACAACAACCCTGCATGCTAGTTTAGTTAATCATTTACCTTATTATTGTATGTATTCAAGTAAAAAGGGTCATACATGGAAAAATGCAGTGTACAGTTACCTACAATACGTATCATATATATAAACTTGCCCTACACTTTTAACAAGGAGCTAGCAACTTCCACTTAACACTATCAGCTCGATGGGCACACTTGGAGCTTTGTAGTGCAAGCCTAAGAACCCGGCGGCCGCACAACCCTGGCCCTCTCTTTATTTTAATTTGGTCGTGGTGGGTCCGGGTTTTTATGAATTCCTTACAATTTCTATTCTTAGGTCTATTTGAGTGCCTACTTTCGACCTGTGTTCATAGTTTTCGGATCCACTCATCACACTAAAATAACCTTGGACTGCGACTACTTTGGACATATACTTTTCCAACTCGACGCATAGTATTTAAGCAATTCCCCCTTTTCAGCCTTCTTAGACAGGTTTTACATTAAGGCATAAATGATGTGATGCACAGGAAGTAATGCATAAACCTTAATATACCACTTTCCTGTTCATCTCCCTCTCAAACCCTTTCATCCTTCTGACTTGAAGTACCACATATACAAAACCTCTCAGTAGAAAATCCCCTGAGCATGATCTAATTACCTCCACTTACTTCGAAACCTACTTCAAAAGTCCATATTTTCTTAACCACAATATATAATGCCATTCTACAAACCACTCGCTATCCTCTGATAAGTTAATATTCTATCGTTATTCTTATTCTTAAAGATCACAAACATCCTTACCGGAAAGAGTCTGTCCGCCATCAACAAACAAAATGGCGTCAGCGAACACCGCCGGAGATAGGTTTAAATTATTAGAAAAGAATTGCTTGTTTGCTTGCACCAACGGGAAGGAATGATTCCCAGTTGAATCGGGGATAAATTAAATGGGGAATAATTAAATGAAGGAATAAATGAAAAAGGGAATAACTGAAGACTCACTGTTTTAGATGATTCCTGAAGCTTGGAAGATGAATGACGCTCTTGTAGGAAGATCGGAAGGCGATGAGATTTCGCTCGGCGATGAATAAGCCATGCACCGGCCTAACTTCAATAGATGCAAAGATGATGGATGACGCAACTCCTTTGGAATGTCAGTGAGAGATGATGAATAAGTCTTCCCAGGTGATGATGATGGTCGTAGAATGATAAAAGGAGGTGATAGAAAGGCAAAATATACGAGCGTGATCGGAAGAAAATGGAAATATTGAAGGAAAAGGACGATGGAAGTTTTGTGACCACGCGGTCCGGAGGTAGGAGCCGATGCGACATTGCATGGAATTGGGCGATGCGAAAGTCAAGCGGTACCATATTCGCGAGGCGATGAATGATTGATTCCAGGCGATTTTACGCGGTGATTAATTACTGACTATTGTGCAATACTTTGGGAGAGAAGCCACAAGGTGTTGTTGACGCATCGAGAGACGGCTAAAAAGAGAGCGACGGAATAAAAAAAAATCAGGGGGAGAGGGTTTCTGGTGAAATTGGAGGGAAGAGGGTTGGTAATGGCAAACAATGATGGAAAGGGGTTGAAGATAGGGGGTAAAATGTACACGTCACGATTCGGGCGTGTCGCGTTTAGCGAAACACTTTTTTTTAAAGAGATTAATCCCTATCCTTGATATTCATAAAATAATCCTCTCTCACTAATTCGGTTTCAGTACACATCATTCTATGATCTAACAAGGTCTCAGAGTTGTTGACACTGTTTCCTCTGTTCTAGAGAAAAAAAGAGTATTGTTTGGGTGCGTTCCTAGATGTAGCACAGGCATTTCATAGGGTACGGCACCGGAATATGCTTTATAAACTTATATGCTTCCTTCCCACTCCTCATTATCTTATCCTGAAATCCTACCCAACCTCTGCTTCAGAGTGAAGTGCAGCAATGCGTTCTCGCAAATCAGACCGATACAAGCCAGCATCCCACAAGGGAAAATTCTTGGTCCCATCCTTTATACCATCGATACTGTTGGCCTACCTGCACACCACAATATCATCAAAAACACCTACGCAGATGTTACCACAAATTTGTCCACTAGCTCGAATACTATCCAAGAACACCTTGAGCTTATTGAAGAATGGTGCAAAAAGTGGAGGACAAGACTGAATGAAAAATAACGTACTCTGTTCACATTGAAAAAAGTCTTGTCCTCCATTTTATATCAACAACAAAGAGATACTGACAATCACTCAAGTCAAATACTTAAGAAATATACTTAGACTGCAGACTGACAAGGAATCCCCAAACAAGACTTTAGAGACAACTTAACAGATAACTTGGACAACCATGAAGACTTCAAGGAACGAAATCCATCTTGATGTTCAATACTGAACTAACCTTATACAAGACTTTACTGCAACCACTTTGGACATATGGAGTGGAACTGTGGGGTTCTGCCAAACCATCATACAGCACACCCAATCCTTCTAATCAAAGCTCCTCAGACAAATTGTCAAAAGTCCTTAATATGTCACTACCTCACTATCCACAACAACCTCAACATTTCTTTTGTCAATGAACAAATCTGTTTTTGAATCCAAAAGTTTCACACCAACCACTCTCAATCCATCCTAACACTATTGCTCAGGCGCTCTATACACATTCCAGCCCCAAAACTCGAGACTTCCTTGCACCTCACTGAGTGCAAAGATTCTCATGGCATGTATCCTCCGGGTTACCACTGGCATTAGTGCTAGTACTGTTTTTTTTTTTTTTTTTGCCTTATCTATGCATATTAACCATGGTGACGAATTCTTGTATGTGTGTTCATATTTGGGGGGGGGGGGTTATCGTGAAAAAAGGGCTAGAGGCGACAGTGGGAATCGAACCCACGACCGCGGCGTCTATGTGCCGAGAGTCTCTCACGCTAACCACTCGGATACTGCGGTCCCCTGCTAGTACTGTTAATGGGTGAAAAAATGTATTGTGATCAGATTTGTAACATGTACAAATACATACATATATATGTGTGTGTGTGTGTGTGTGTGTGTATTTTTTTAAATTTAAATGTTTGCTTTTATTTCACTGAAGGTGTTCAGAGGTTTTTTAAATTTTTTATTGAATGTAAATTGTTGATTAAATTTGTTTACAAGTACCGGAAATGTTCATTTATTTCACCATTAAAAAAAAAAACTACAGACTTGTTTTATGACCAGATATAATTATGTATAGAACATGAAACCAAAAAAATAAAGTTAAGGAAAATAAAAATAAAATAACCACAAATTCTTAACAAATAATTACATGAAATTTTAAACTGACCTTAAATTATTAATTTCGCTCCTGGCCACCTTGAGCTCTTTGAACAATTTCTCCATCTGGACATCCATCGTTTCTCCCTTAGCTGGCAAAGCCATTGTTACAATTTTCAAATGTTATACGACATCAAATGGTCAATTTCTCAGCAGCCAGAAAGAGACCGGCAACAATATATCTACAGAAGAACAATTAAAATTTAATAAACATTTATTACAGATTATACAAGTTAAATAATTTCTTTTGATGAATCCATATTTAAAAAACTTTTATTCAAAGAAATGATAAATTATTACTGATATAAATTCACTAATTTATAATCTAGGAATCTAAATCAAATTTCTTTGATATGCTCTCGGGAAAAGCTAACTTAAGACTGTTAAGTTGGTTAATCTTTGGAGTAGGAGAGAGTGCTGATGAGAATTCTAGGACCAACACCTGCATCCTAGCACTGTCATCACCTTATTTATTTAATAATATAATTAGACTTTAATATAACTCCTCCCATCAAAAGAGACAGCTTCCCTGGAAGCTCGTGATATTGAAAAATAACAATTATAAAAAATTGAACAACTTAGAGATTTACATTGGTGACTTATCCCAAGTTAAAGTATTATTTTACATTTGCAATGAATTAGTAACTGTGAACTAGGAAGGCTAACATGCTTTTCTTCTATCTACTCAAAATCATGGGTGGGGGCACAAGACCAACTCCGACTTCCACACAGTACCCCTGTAAACACCTTGGTCTTTCAGGCACCTTACAAGAAAGAGTCAGCTCATGTAACAAAGCCTGCTTCAAAATTCAAAAAGAAAAGGCCAAGGTTGTTTGAGACAAGCCCGCTCAAAAGGATACAAGGCCAACAGCAGGTAGAGCGAATAGAGGAAGATATCCCATATAGGGGCACTCCATCTGTTTCAGCCCAATAACAAAAGGCCAGGAAGGAAAAAGGGTATTCCAGGTCAACCTCTAGAATGCAAAGGCCACATTGGTCACACTGTGCAGGAGGTTTGCAGAGAGGGCCTGGACATCACCCTGGTTCAAGAACCTTGGGTACACGTGACTGTGAGAGGAATAAAACCCCAACAGGCGCAGATAATATACCAGAGGACATCAACAAGACCCTGGGCATGTATAGTGTGCAATACAAGAATTAGATGTGCATTAATACTGGAACTAAGTTCCAGCGACTTTGTTCCAGCAATCCTAACAGCAAAGACTGCGGGCAGAAAAAGAAGATGACTAATCTGCTCGGCCTACTTCCAAAGAGAGGAACTGTGCCCACCCAAGTTACTGGATAACATTGTGAGGTACTCCAGGGAACAAAACATGAAACTAGTCATGCGATATGATGCAAATGTCCACTAAATTACATGGGGAAAGTACTGACATCAACAACCGAGGTGAAGGGTTTGCTAACATTGCTAACATAACCACAGAACCCACCTTCATCACCAGATGTAGGCAAGAAGTCTTAGACCCGACAATTACTTCCCAAGGGGCTGATGAAAACATCTTAAACTGAAATGTATCCAGGGAGCCATCAAACTCTGACCAGAGGCACATCTGATTTGATTTGAACATTCCCTCCCACAGGGAAACAACATGTAAGAACCCCAAGCACACCAATTGGATAAGGTACGAAAGAACCCTTCAACTATCCTTACAGGGGGGTAAACAAGGAATTTAAAGTCAAGGAGGGTCTAGAAATTTCTATGTAGGAAGTAACCAATGTCATACTAAGCTCCTACACCGAAAACTACATGGAAAAAATAAGGGTAAATAAACATAAAACAGTCTGGTAGAACAAACACCTAGAGCGATTGAAAGCTCGAGTAAGGACTTTATTCCACCGAGCCAAGGCCCATAATGAGTGGGATACATACAGAAATGCCTTGACACACAACAAAATGAATTTATACAATGCAAAAAAAATTTTTTATATTCAAAGTATTTGAACTCACTCAAAGTGTTACGCAGAAAACAAACACTTTGAGTGAGTACAAATACTTTGAATATAATTTTTTTTTCCATTGCATAAATTCATTTTGTTCCACTCTTACATGTATTTGTTAAATTTAAATAATGTTTGTAAATCCTAGGCCCTGAAGATGATCTCAATAAAGATTGAAACGTTGGCATGATAAAGAATATGTTTTTCTAAAACCTACGTCACACCAGACCACATCTCACAATCTCTGAATAATCATAAGAAATGAGAATATTGATTGGGGAATCTTGTTGGAAGTCTACTTTGTGGTTGAAAGCGAGGTTTCCTTGAAGGATAATTGTCCGGCTCCTGAAAAGTTTACAAGAACTGAAAATCATTTGTGAGGATATTTCATGCCTCTGTGAAATTACTTGGGTACCTAGCCTGTATAAGCAAGTCTAAGGCTGGTTCACACAGTGGTGATCGGTATGAGAGATGCATATGCATTAAAAGTGTGCAATACAAAAAGTATCCAGGTGACTCTCCTCCATTGCTTCTCCTTTCCCAAGCGGTTAAGACCTAGATGTTTGATTTTGTCATATTTTTATAAATGCCAAGATAGAAGCTGTGGCTCTGTGGTTTAACTAGACAAAAATCAAGTGAAAGTAGAGTAATGCGGGTTCACCCAAATTTTTCCTCGCATTTTGTTTTTTAACTTTATCTGCATAATCATGGTCAATGTTGTTCCAAAGCATGAGATATGTTTGAAATAATGAAATTCATTTGCCATTATCAAAAATGTCACTTCTATCCATTTTTTAAGTTTCAAAGAAGGCATACGAAAACAAAAGTCGTACAGAGTGATATGCTCAATACAGTATGAACTGTGTGAATGACACCATGCTACGCAATGTCCCATCAGTCGCCTTCATACAGAAAAAGTATCAAGCGACCGAACATCCCAAGCGACTAAAAATCGGTATCTATTACCGGTCGCCTGCCAGTCTCCCCATCTGAATGACTATAACTGTCCCTACGTTACATCGGTCTCCTCAATACAAATCACCTCCGTGTGAACCAATCCTAAGGGTTTTTCAGACCTCTTAGTAAGACACGGAGTGCGACACCACTCGCGCAACCAATTAAAGTGTTGGCTTGAAGTGGTTTTTAAAATATGTTATTTCTAAGTTTACAAATAACTCGCAGATATAACTCATATGGTTTTTTATTTTGTTGATAGTCTTAGAGATTTCAATCTGGAGAGTGTACACGTCCCTTTTGTCAGCGTACGCTCAGTAGTGTTTAAATCTGCCCTACTACTACTATTTTCAATCAGTTGAGCTGCAGAACTTTTTATCTTAATTTTTTGAAACAAGAAAGCAGGTATACATTTTGGAAGTTATTTGAGTGGTTAGTAACTACAAATGTGTTAACTAGTTTTTCCAATGTCTGTGAATCATATTAGAACAGTTGGGTCTCCCTTGAATTCCGGGACCATGTCCATTTATTCTCTTTTAAATTCTGGGAGAGCCATTTTTGGAAATTTGTTAACTTAATTAGGGATTAATAAAAAATTTTGTTTTTAAGATTGTTAATATTACAAATTTAAATGAGATAGTTTTGTTGTCTTACATGAAAACGAGGGCTCCCTATGACCATATTCGCTGGTTCCCAGGGTCTCGGAAGTTCTATGTCATTGTCAGGGAGTAAAGTTCATATGCGCCGATTCTTGATTGCCCGATTGTCGATTAACCGTTGAAACGGAAAGCTCTCGATATTAGTTCAATAACTTTCGACAAAGTCCAGTCCGACTGCGACAGTTTAATTTCTTTGGACGAATCCGTTTTTAAAAACTTTTATTCAAAGAAATTATAAATAATTACTGATATACATTCAGTTACTTATAATCTAGGAATTAAATTTCTCTGATATGCCCTCTGGAAAATTTAACTTAAGACTGGTTCAGTCGGTTAATTAAAAATAATTACAAAACTTTGGAGTGGGAGAGAGTGCCGATGACAATTCTAGGACCAACACGTGCATCCTAGTATTTGTGATCACCTTATTTATTTAATAAAATAATTATACTTGCATATAACTTACATTTATAAAGTAACGTTGTAAAGCACGAAATTCATATTGAACTCGCAACGGACACTGGACAAAAAACTGCAGTGTAACGTATTCTATAAAATACCAGTATTCCAGATCCAGTACTAAGTTACTAAAATACTAACTACTAACTGGAAGGGATCTCTGGAAGGTAATCGGTAGCAACTTGCAAGAACAAACGGCAGTCGACTATTTTAAATCGATCTTTTCGACTTTTGAATCTTCTTCGCGGTCACTGGAGGCCAGTCTCCATTTATTCCATTGCGGCCTAAAAGATAAATTGCGAAATCGACCAAAAACAACCAAAGGTAGTTTAGCACTTTACAAAGTTGTTTATTTCTTTAGGCACCAATATCGCCTTTCAGAAGGATCTGTACAGTTTCTAGGCTAAATGTTTGCTGTATGCAGTCATATAAACTGCTCAAAAATGTATTGGGATATTACCAATTTTGCATTATTTACTTTCCCTAGCACTTTAATTTTATTTTTATTATAAATTGTATTAAGGAAAATTTAATTAAGGTATTTTGAAAAATAACAATAAAAGGTTTTATAATTCCATAATTTTTTAAAACAATATGTCTAATGTTTTCCATTAACTAAAACCAATGTGCACCTGTTAGGCATACTGTCAATAAGGTTGTCACTAATGTCATAAGGAATTTCTCTTTGTAGATTTTGCTACGCTGCCCTCAGTTGTTGCAGATGGTGATCGAAAAGCCTTCTCTGCAATGCATCCGCATGTGCTCAATGAGATTGAGGTCTGGGGAAATGGGGAAAGGGAAGATGGGAAATTCCCGGATTTTCTAAACATTGATGAACAACTCTTCATCCATGAGGTCTGGTATTGTCATCCAGAAATCGAAAATCCCTGCCAATGAGATCCCTGGTTTGACGAATGTATTCCTCGATAATTTCTGGTCTATCTCACCATTAACTTTGTCTTGCAATGCATAGGGCACATTGCGAGCTTTTAGAAATTTTTGTGGTGCATCAGGAACTAACTCCAACTTTGACATGACAGTCAGCAGGTCTTTTTTGTGTTTTGCCCACATTATTTGAGATGGTAATTAAGTGGGTAATGGCCAGTATAAAGGCCTAGTATTTTCCTTAATTCTTGCCTACTGAGAGAGAAGTAAATTTTTCCTGTTTGAGATGCTGAGGAACTCACTAGGTGAATTCATACAGTAAGTTGTTCTGGTCCAAAGGGTGTGATGGCTGCTCCTGCTTTTGCTAGTTTGTCAGCATATTCATTGCTTTCAATCCTCTCATATCTGGACACTCACATCAGAGTTGCCTGATTACATTTTCCCAGGGGGTGGAGATGTTAGGCATAGCTTTCAGTTGAAGGTGGAGAAGTCTACAGCTTCCAGTGCTGCTTGGCTGAGAATCTTATATTTTTATAATTTAATCCATTTTAAAGTATTTCTTAGATAGTCTAAATAGTCCTATATCCTCCACAAAATAGAACAGGAGGCCCAACAACTCGCTGCTGTCACCCTGCAATTAAGTGGAACACATTGGCCAACCTTTTTCTACATGGTAGACACATACATGTGCCAAAATGTAATTTTCCGTGTGTTCATCTTGCATGTTCTCTTTACTGCCTTTGGCAGAGACATTGCCATCAGAGTTACCTTATTTTGTTTACCCTGGAGTTGGAAATGCGTTAAATATTTCCAGACCAGCTTTGCGTTGAAGGTCAATTGTAAAACCTTCAGTGCTGCTTGGCTGTGTGAAACTATTTGCTATTCTCCTATTTCCAGTTGTTACTAATAGTTTATGTATTTTATAACATATTTTTGGTTAGACTAGGCAAAATAAACACTTTATAACAAAAGAAATGAATATCAGTAGGAATAGGCATAAAAATTTGAAAACATTAAAAAGATGATTGGTTCATAAATCTGAGAATTTGGTTGAATTTGCTTATTATAGATTTAACATTATTCTTAAAATCCAAATTATTGTTGAAAAGAACTCCAAGATCTTTTACAGAATGACACCTATCAATGCCAAATCCAAATAATTTTGTAGTCATAAACCAGACAAATTGTAGAATGTAATGAGTTTACATTTTCTTTGTGTTGAGGAACTTTTTATTATTTTGACACCAGTTTTCAATGTTTCAATAGATCCCTTTCTCCCATTCTGGTGTACAAGGTATTTTGATTAGAAATTTTTTCTCCAAACTGAAATTAGGTATCATGGCATCATTAGGTATCCCCAAAGTTCTGTCTAGCTGAAGCTCCCTCTTTAGTTCCTCCTTGTTATGTGAGCCTGTCCCTGGGCTAGCCTATGAATAGTGACTCCTGCCTATAGAGATGTGTAATGGTGGTAGATTCAGAAGGACTTCCAGGGCAGCTGTGGGAGTTGTTCTCATTGCCCCAGTGATGCTCAGATGCACCAGTTTCTTTACTGAGTATTTGAACTGCCCTTAGCTGTAATGTCTTAGTCCACCAAACCATAGACAAACATGGGTCTAACAACTGCTGTGTATAACCATAGGAATATCTTTGGATTTAGTCCTCAGCTTTTCCCACAAGGGCGTTTGCATCTGCCAATGGCAATCTTTGCTCTTTGTGTGATTTTGTTTAGTTGTTGATACCATGAAAGTCTCTGGTCAAAAAAACTCCCAGATATTTTGCCTCTTTAGAGAAAGGAATTTCAACTCCATTTAGCATAAGGAGCTTAAGCCCTCCTAGTGTCAATTTCTTGGTAAAGGGAACAACAATGGTTTTGTTAGGGTTTATAGAAAGCCCTTCCTTTTTACACCATCTGTATGTTATATTGAGTGTGTTTGTGCCCTCTCTATAATGACTTCAGCAAAGCGTCCATTCATGACTACCATCAGATCAACTGCATATCCTAGGCAATTAAAGCCTTCGTCAGATCGCCTTTTCGGGAGATCATCAACCAATGCTGACCACAGTAATGGAGACAGAATGCCACCCTGAGGGCAGCCTCTGGTTGTTGTCGCCCTTATTGTAGTGTCAACCAGGGTAAATAAAATTATTCTCTTCCTTAGACTTTCTTTCATCCATTGACATATGGAGTTTGAGTTCACTCCTCTCAAACTTTAACCTTATCCTTAACATGGACACGCAACTGAGGGAAAGCTGATCTCTCCGAAGTTCGAGAGGCAAGACCCCAACTCATATCACAGACTAGCCAAGGGGCTGGTCCTAAACGCTCCTGAGATCGCTTTGAGGCCTTGATAGTAAATCTATCGAGCTTTCTCAGGCGTGCTGTGTGTGCCGAGGAGTAAACCATACATCCATAGATCTCCTATCAAAGCAGCGAGCCAAACATTTTCAACAAAAAAAAAATTAACTAACGGTCACTAAACACCACACATTTCTACACGAGAAGAATGAAGAACATTGGATTCTATGAACAGATTTCAACTACATATGGACACCAAGCAAGGAGTATTCTGAAAGACATCGCCAGCAATGAAAAGAAACTTGTATCGGCTATCAGTCAGAGAACTTTATGTTTTTCTAAAACCTACATCACACCAGACCGCATCTCACGATCTCCAAATAATCATTATATTTTTAGTTTGCATTTTATAAGAGTTATTTTTTACTGTATTTTTAGTTTGTATGACTTATTACAAGTTGGTCATTGCTGGTAATTACATAAATAAACAATAAATTATCATACGAGAATGATAATTTATGTCAAGGTGAATATGTCCTAAATGATTCATGGCTTTTAATATAATAAAAAAAAGAGTATTTAGCAATCAAAGTAAGGAATTGGATGAAAGTTTATGTTTTATTCATAAAGATGTTGAAAACAGATTATTTACATTTTAAAATGACTAATTGTGTCTTTTTTTTTTTGGTTTGCTAAGCCTAAACAGAGCAACAACAGATGCATTAAAAACTTATGTCTTGTTAATTTTACTTTTTTTAATTCATTCAGTTTTAATCATATATTAGAAAATGTATAAACATCTTGTATTTGAAAAATTATTTATATGTTTGTAAATGTATTTTTACCAGTAATTACATTTAAATATCAAACGGGAATTAGGTTGGGTTCACAAGGGCATAGGGTGGAATGGTCATGACTCATGGTGCAAGTGGAAATTAATGATCGATATATTTCTATTCAATGTAATTGACTTCAATTGGAATTCGAACGTTTTAACAAAAAAGAAAAAGATATATTTATTTAAAATCGTTATAACTAGCGTCACGAACCCACGACCCCGGATGGGTAGTAATCAGTGAAATCACCAGGCGACTAGGTCAGCCGTCAGATTTTGTAATCACGTGGTCGACTGGCACGGCTCGACTTTCCCGTTTTACCTTGGATTCGATTTGATTTCTGAACTGTCTATTTAGCCTAGTTTCACTACGATATCCGTCGGAATCAGTCGAAAATGAGCTGCTTGGACCAATTGAAGAAGATGACCACGGTCGTCGCCGACACCGGCGATTTTGAATGTAAACCGCTTGACAAAATGCCAAATTTCTCACTTCTAATGCATGTGCTTCCCTTATCTAACCGAATGATAAATTATAAAATACAAAAACTAAATGTACAGGTTTTTAAGAATGCATGCAAATGCGCAGATGTACTTACTTTACTGCGAAACATCTAAGCAGGCGAACACCGAAAGTGCTAGCATGTCTCATCTGTAGTACTTAACAGTCTGGAAAGTACCGAAGTATCTGCTTCAAAAGGCATTGGCTACTAAGCCAAGAAAAGTTCTGTTTACTCCTTCCAGTTTTATAATTATTACACATTCACTAAAAAAAATCTTGGAACACATTCAGTAAAAAGAAGGAAACCTTTGAAATTAAAATAATCAAGGGCTACATAGATTAACAACATAATGTCTTGCAATTTTAAACTTTAATCAGCAACAAAAACTGTATAAGATGTAATAGTATTAAAGATCAAGTTTCAAGCAAAAAATTCTGAATGTGTTACTTTTCATTTATTTATTTACTGATACTTTCCAAATTTTATGTCCATAATCTGTAGGTCCACCCCTATTTTTTATTACTGCTAATAAACGATTTTTCATTGATAGAACTAGTTTTTTGTCACATCTGGGAATATATTAGTCCCCTTCTGTAAAATCTCTTCTCTCAGATGGGTTTTTGTTTTGAATCAGTTTTTATTTTCTAATCTGCCTTCCAATATGATCCCACAAGTGCTTGATAGGATTTAAATTGGGCATTTGGGGTGGTGTCCAGAGCTGCCTAGGTGCATGATATAGTAGTCATTCTTGAGTTTTCTGAGCCTTGTGCTTGGGAAGCCTGTGTAGGGTCTGTAACACTTGGTTTGCATGCAGTTTGTGCTTGTTTTTTGATACCATGTAAAGATAATATTCTATCTTATTATGTGCCCTTTAGCCATGAAAGCATACAGTCCTACAGATGCCACTACAAATCCATCTCTAATCCTCGCTGCTGCTAAAAATTCCGAATATCATAAATTGATTAAAAAAGCTGCAGAATATGGTGTTGCACATGGAAAGTGAGTTCTCTCTGATAAACTATTATGTTTTTTCATACTTTAAAATGATGGAATTGTTTTTAGGAATCTCGATGAACAAGTGGAAGCCGCAATGGACCAATTGGTTGTTCTGTTTGGAACAGAAATACTTAAAATCATTCCAGGGCGGGTCTCAACTGAAGTTGATGCTAGGTGAAATTTGTATAATTATAATAAATAAGCTATTGTCTAATAATTCATAACTGATCATTCATATATTCATGCATTCAAAGTCATACACAGGGGCGTCAGTCCAACAACAGTTAGGGCATTCACAGCGCTCATCAATGTAAGTTAGAGGTCCCGGGTTCGAATGCAGGTCCGCTGGATTCGAACCCAATGTACTTACAAAAGGGCATTCATATAACCTTGTAGTTGCCCTCGTTAAAAAATCATACACAATGTTTTATTATTATGTGTAAATACAATTAAAATTTTGTTTGGAAAAGATCTAATTTTTAATATTGTGTGGTTATAAATTTTTAACATGTTTAGCACCAAAATATAATAACTTTAATACTAATAATTATAATTATTTGCAATAGTATGATTATACATAATTTTGTTTCTGTTTGGTTTAGATTGTCTTTCAACAAGGAAGCCAGTATTGAAAAAGCTAAGAAATTGATCAAACTCTACGAAGAGCATGGCATTTCAAAGGAAAGAGTACTGATCAAGTTGGCTTCTACTTGGGAGGGAATTGAAGCTGCAAAGTAATGGGGTGATGTTAATCATAGTAGAAATAGCGCTAGAAATAATGTATTGTGTTTTAGGTTTCTCGAACAAGAGCTTGGGATACACTGTAATCTTACATTGCTGTTTTCTTTCTGTCAAGCAGTGGCTTGTGCTGAGGCAAAAGTTACCTTAATTTCACCATTCGTTGGAAGAATATTGGACTGGTTTGTTTTGTTTGTTTATTTTGCTTGTTATTTCAATATGCTTTAATGGAATTATTACTGATTATTTAGATAAAACAAAACACACATTTGTACAGGGAATTATTAATTTTATTTTAATAGTAAAAATATGTGTAATAATTGAATTGTTACAAACAAATTGTTTTTCAGAGCAGTAAAAACATTGCAAGAGTATGGCACAAATGTTGCTGAAACGTCACAAGAATAAAAGATTGAGGCATCGAATTTCCAAAAGCAGACACTTTTAATAACCAGAAATTCCTCATGAGTGCACAATTTTATTTTCCCCAGGATTACTCCATTTAATTTACTAAGAAAAATACTTCTTATAATGTTGCACTACGTTTATAAATTTTTCAATGAAAAAGTCCCTTATAACCGAACAGTAGACAGATGATTCTTATGCGTTAAGCCCAGTTTACGTGCTGCATGTCATCATACATTTAGGCCCTACTCACAAGGTATACTCATATCTCTTCTCCAACTACTTGGCAACCAGGAGACTGGGCAACTCGAGTAGCAAGTATTGTCAAATTGCTTGTGGTTTGAATAGAAAATCAGTTGTATATTGCCTGTTGGCATAGTGAGCTTCATCGTATCCCCCCCCCATGTATGATGTCTAGTTTTTCTAGTAGTATATCATAATGCAGTATTGTTATTAGAGACCAAGAAATTGATAAAGTTGTAGGTACATCCTTACATAGAAAAGAATATAAATTGTAGGTTATTTGTTGGTTGAGAAGAACGGCAGAAAGTTTCAACTTGTAGTTTTGTAATATAGGAAATTTCTCCTCTCCTGCCACAAATTTTAAAATGAACGATTATTTATTCAATTGCACATGCCGATGGTGTAAAAGAAGTGAGATACTGGAAGACTTGGAGACAGACATATCGGGTCTGTTAGTATCCAAGTGGCGGTGACTCTGAGTTGCCATTACTGAAGTACTGTCAGAGTGACACTATCTAATTATGAATGATGGGTCTCTTGGTTGCTGAGTAACTCAGTCGCTCAGAGACTTGAGCATTCCTATGTAGGCAGGACCTTATAGTAAAGTGGACATAATAACATAAAATCGTTTGCCTTATCGGATCACAATGAAATCTAAGATTGGATTGAAAATTTTAACCACAGGGATTCGATTTCTGAAAATTGGTCTGTCATGACAACATGAGAACAGCTGCAAGTTTATCAGTCTGTCTTTTTAGTTTTATTAAGTATACAATTCCAGTAATAAACTGTACGAATTGGAGTCCTTTCTTAAATAATTTTTCTAGTCATAGGTTTTATTCCAAAGCTCACGAAGTAATCTGATATGAGAGAATTGTCATTGCCCCACTATTTCTCTTTTTAAAAGCCATTCTATGCACCACCTTCATCTGTCTTTTCTCTGAGTTTCTGTGAAGGTGATTGCAGATCAAAAAATGGCTTCCTCCATTTTTGAGTACAGGGTTTGCAGTGAATATTTCTTAAGTTCAGGTTTGCTCTTGGATGTAAAGTTTGTTGTCTCTTTTATGTGACCAACAAGACATAGCTTGTAAACCTGCTTTTACTTGAAAACAGTCATGTTTCAGGAATCCTCACACCCTGCACAACCCTCTTGAACATCTTTTGCACTTTTCATTCAGTTAGTTCTTAAGCTTGATTTCCACTGCACGAAACTCACTCGCACAACTGTTTCGTGAAACTTGTCACGTGCTGTGGATACCAAGCCGGAGGACGTTTCAGGGTGAGCTGACCGGCTGTCAGTATTTTAGTGCACATCAAAGTGATTCACGTTGTTTGCTTTGCTCCATGTAAATGCACTTGTCTCGAGTATGAGAATGAACAAGGAGGTGTGCATTTGACTTACGTGAATGTATCACACCAATTTTTGTGGGATGCTAAACTCATCAGATAAGAACAAGAGAGAGGACGCGAAGGAAATAAGCATCAAAATGGGACAAGCTGTTTCTTGGTACGCATAAAGCGCAAATGAAAACTCAAATGGGGTTCACGATAAAATAATTCTTTCATCCACCAACGGCGTATTCTTCGTTTGGTTTTCTTTTAAATGTAAAGTATTGCCATGATGCAGCAGTTTGTGTAGTTATAAACAGCATGCTTGTCTCGCACAACTGATGGCTCAGCTTGTTTCACCTCATGGAAATGGTTAACCTGAGGTGACATTTTGCGAGACAGTTGTGTGAGTGAATTTCGTGCAGCAGAAAACCAACTTGAAATTGTGACAAACTGACATTCAGAGATCAGTCGGCTTAGATAAAAAAGTCCATGGGAAAGAGAAAATTACTGTCCATATACATTTGTTCAAATTCAGTTCAATTTTTACTTTCACTTAATGCATCTAATAACGTTTCTATGTATGGACCTTCTAATAAGTGGACATAATCCCATTCCTGAGTAGTGTCTGCTTATGAGAAGTTCAACTCGCCTTCCATTTAGGCTCTTAATTGTGGGAAAAAATAGCTACACCAAAAAGATTACATTTTTATCCAAATATTATATTTATTACATACTTAATTGTCTTTTAGGTATCTTAAAAAAACTGGAAAATCAGGTTACTCTGGGGATGAAGATCCAGGTGTCATCTCCGTTACAAAGATCTTCAATTACTATAAAAAATTTGGGTACAAAACTCAAGTAATGGGTGCTTCATTCAGAAATACAGGTATTTTTTTATTATTATTGTGTGTGTGTGTGCGCGCGCGCGTGCGTGCGTGTGTGTGTGTGTGTGTGTGTGTGTGTGTGTGTGTGTTTTGGTTTTTTCAAATTTCTACTTTCTTTATAAAGAAAGAATCTGAACTCTGGGTTACATTACGAAACTCCATTCTTGGGTTCCCCAAGAATTGGGAACAAAGAATACTTGTTGCGTTTCACATCTGAATAGGAATAAATCAGAAGGGTTCCTATTTGATCACTGGGGATGAGAAGACATTTATAAAAGTGTTAAACCCTGTAGGACTGTTTGCAATAAGAATGAAACATCAACTTCAAGACTATGTTTGCACCCTCATAAGGTCCTACTATCTGTTTGGTGGGATTTTCGAGGAATAATTTATTAAGAACTGTTACCAAGCAATCAAACCCAGCAGAGGTATACTGTACCCCGCTAGAGCATCTTGGGTCATTGTTGAAGGAAAAACGTCCATCCGTGGTGAATAGATGCAACATCGTGTTTCACCATGATACAAGGCTCAGAATAAAATCGCTCAGTTAGGCTGGCAACAGTTTAGAGGTTGGTATAGAGGAATATCCAAACTGTGGTCCACGGCGAACTTCGAGAAAAAATAATTACAAAAATAAACGGAGAATGAATAAATAAAATTAAAAAACTAAAACAATGGTACTGAAAATGAAAGTTTATATTTTGCAGCAGCAGTCATTATTTTCTCCACAGACATGTTTAAGCTATCAAACAAATGCCAGCCTCTGTTAAAGAAGTTGTGGATGAGTCTGTTCAAATTATTAAGTTGCAGCCATTTAAGTCAAGACATTTTATAATAGTACATGTTGATGAGGGAAGCCCTTCATCATTCTCAGCTTCACCATAGAGAAGTTAGGAAGCTGTCTTGTGCGAAAGAACTTTCATGATTGCAGGAATTACGTTCTGAATCCTTATCTCTGTTTATGTCATGATCACAATGTTAAAATTGGCCAATGTTTTCAATGATGAGAAATGGGCATGTTTTCATTAAAATGAACGAGATGAGTCTTTCTTTGTAAGGGAAGAGTAACAAATTTCGATGCCTATGACAAAACCTTCAAACAAACATCCAGTTTTGGGTTCATTCTGTTGAGAAGGAAGATGTGTAGTCTTTTCCTGTGTTCAATTTTTTTAAAAGAAAACAAACTGAAGCTTGCGATGAAATATGTTAACATCTTCGAAGTTGGGCGATATCATTTGTGCACTACTTTCCAACAGCTTGAGATACAATGCTGCAAGACCATGAACGAGTGGTCAAACCATTTTCAGTTTCGACAAAGCCAACTAGTCTATCTTCAACTGAATATGAATGCTTGATAGACTTTACTTCAGACTCCACCTTGAAATCTATTTCGAGTTTGATAATTACCCCCATTTTTTATTCTGCTTAGAAAACAAAAAATTTCAACTGCTCATTGAAAAAGCAAGACGGTTCTTCCATTTGTCACAACTTATCTACCCTAATCAGGACTTTCTATTTATAAAGCCATCAAAACTAAATAACGAAGGTATCTGGATGCTGAACCCGTCTCCATCGATCAAAACTTAAGCTCAGCATATCCAAAATTGTGCAGACTAAACAACCTCGCTCTAATTTATTAATCATTAATGTTCAAATTATTACTTTTGAAATTGGCTCATTTTACATAACTATTGATTTCGTTCTGTCCAATTTGATTTTTGTGTTTTGGATTTTTATATAAAGTTGAGTATGTCAATCAAGTGTTGGTTTTCATAGTGATATCCCCCTCCATTATCTAATTAGGAATGGACTGGCTAATTTTTAAAATTTTAATTTACTATTTACTGTAAGTATACTACAGTAAGTATACTGTAAGTACTTGAATACTTGAATGAAAGGGGTCCGCCCTGGATTTTGTTTTGAGAAAGGAGTCCGCTGGCTAAAAAGTTTAGGAAGCCCTGCTCTATACTCTCCAGACCTTGCCCCTTCCTATTTTTGTTTGTTCCACTCCCCAGACAACTGCTTAAAAGTTTTAAGTATTTAAATTAAGATGTTCTGTAAATCAGACATACAGATTTATTCTCATCTAGCAATAAAAGTTTGACATTTTTCTGAAAATCCAAAAAACATGCACAAACGCAATATCTTCTATAATTATTTTTAATGTGTGGTGTTTAGTGACGGTTAGTTAATGATTATTTGGAGATTGTGAAATGCGGTCTGGTGTGACATAGGTTATAGAAAAACATATTCTTATTCGTGCCAATGTTTCGATCTTTATTGAGATCATCTTCAGGGCCTGGGCAAGCTGCGACTGAGTTTACACGTGTCTGTTCTGTAATTGACGTATCAGCCATAAACTCAGTTGCAGCTACGCTATTATCATTACTCAAATTCAGTATCAATAAAATACATATATCATCATCACATCACACAAAACATATAATATAACATATAAAAGAATCATTACATTCCACGCATCAAGCATTTTTACATAGTCTAATTCTTCAACAATTTGGCTTTCCTTTCCCTAATCCCTGTCTATATAATTCGGAAAGGATAATCAGGCCGAACCATTACCCATCTTTTCCCATTGTCGGCTTCTTTCACCTCAAAGAAGCCGACTCCTCATATAAAAATGTGTTTCATCCCTACTTCCTTCTGTACCCCTTCAAAATCCAATGTATACAGACATAAAACTTCAATATCTCACTGGCACTCTCAACACGACACAATAATGACACATCTACACAGAAAACAAACACTTTGCGTCAGTACAAATACTTTGATTAAATCTAAAATTTGTAGCATTGTGTAAATTCATTTTTTCCACATCCTACATGTATCTGTATAATTTAAACAATGTTTATAAATCCCAGGCCCTGAAGATGATCTCAATAAAGATTGAAACGTTGGTACGATAAAGAAAATGTTATTCTAAAACCTACGCCACACCAGACCGCATCTCATGATCTCCGAATAATCATTATTTTTAATCCTGTCTGTACATTTTTGCAAATGAGTGTAATAACAGTGGTTATATTTTTCCCCAGATGAAATTAAGGAATTGGCTGGTTGCGATCTATTGACCATCAGTCCAGCTCTTTTAGAACAATTGGGAAAGCAAAATGAAAAACTCACAGTTAAATTGGATGCTTCGAAAGGTTTTCCTCATTTTGATCCATCATTCAGTAATAAATTTTCTGACAAAATACCTTAACATTGCACAATTGTTTTCTAGTTTCTACATTCCACGTTGATAAAGTTGTGCTGGATGAACCGACATTCCGTTGGATGCTGAATGAAGATGAAATGGCCACTGACAAACTATCTGAAGGCATACGAAAATTTGCTGCAGATGCTGCAAAGCTCCAAGAAATAATGACTGAAGCTGTTAAACAATGTTAATTCGTGTAACCTTTTGATATATTAAATTATATTTTTGTATGCAAATTGTCTAAATTGTAATGTATAGTTTCTATAGAAGGGGCACAGGATGAAATAAAAAATAAATGTATGTAAAAAAGTAAATGACTTATCTACTACCAATTTCAAAATTTTCTTCTTTCTCTTCATTCAGGGGACTTGCCAGCATGTAAACAAAAAATGACATTTCAGTTTGAAATTTTGTACATATGCTATAATCATAATTCACCAATAACCGTATTAGCAGGCACAATTATCTCAATGAGTTTCTCCCAATTTTCCAAATAATTTATGCAATATTAAATTTTATGGTTCTATAAAAATTTCATAGCAGAACAATAAAACTATCAGAGGCTTCTGTCATAGGATGAAATCAATTTGTTTCTCAGTTTAATAACAAACTTGTTCAAAGTCACATTTTGCTTCCTTAAAATGAGTTGGCTTTCAACACCCCACCAAGAGATTAATTAATCATGAGAAACTGGTCAGATAAAGGAGAGGACAAGAGTAATTGTAAACAGGGCAATTAATTAAAAGAAAAGTTTTTAAAAAGTCTTTTTGTACTTCAGCAACTCCAACTTTTTCTTTTGCCTGGAATATTTAATACCTAAAGTTAAGAGAAATGTTTTAATACAACTTGTTATCCCCATCCCACTTGAGAGGAATTTAAGCCTAGATTCTCTTTTCTGTCTACCTTTGTATCATTGCCAGTTATTTAAGGCTATTGTGGTGTTTAATATAGTCAGTAGTAATTATTAAATTCCTTGATGAAGATAATTATATTGTGACTATGTGTTCTTGTGTCATTAAATGAGGGTTATTTGTGACAAAAGCTTGATTTTGATTATGTACAGTTGAAGGACGACGAGAGCGCTTTGCATCTTCCAAATCAAAATTTCCACTTATGAACTAACTAGACTACTTATGGAATACATTGAGACAGCTATGGCTGATTAGGCTATGTTTAGGCCAGAGCCGAGTCGTTCAAATTTGACGTTCAAGGAGTGCGTTATTCACCCAAATCAAGGTGGTACTAAACAGCAGACCATTGATTCCCATTTCCTTTTAGTGATGGCGTGGACACCTGTTTTGTTACCCTTGGTCATTTTCTAACTGGTTCTTCACTCTTGCCTCCCCCTGAGGCTGCCTTTTCAGACACTAAAATCTTTATTTCATTGGCATCGGTTAGGTTATATCATAGTTTCTGGAAGCATTGGTCTTCAACTTACTTGGTTACCTTGTACCTTATATCGAGTACTCTGGGGGAGTGAATGTGACCAGACATCTATGTTTGTGGTGATGTATATATATGTATTGTATGTTTTGTTTCTATTCTGTATTTGACAACCTGAGGTACAAACGAAAGACTAGCATTCTAGGATATCAACGTAGTTTATATTTGAAATCAGAGAGTGAGTAACCAGATCGAGACGCTCAAATGGCTGCAGATTAAAACAAAACATGGAAGAAAGAAAAAGAAGGAAAACACGCAGAGGGCCGGTGATGATCTCAGCTGTTTGTCGGCCCATCAACTTCCCACTTATATACATACAGATCCTTCTAAGACAGAGGGCAAGTCATCCAAAAAGAAAGAAAATAACATGGGGCTAAGAGGATAGCCCTGTCTAAGTCCAGATTGAACCTAAAAAATTCCCCAGAAGATGAAGGATACGAAGAAACTTACTAGAAAAAGACAATTTACTCAATTTAAGGAGTATTCCATTCTTGTCCACTGAATCAAATGCAGGTTTTAGGTCTGTAAAGAAACAATAGATACTCTGCTTAGGCTGATTGAATTTAATATTTATAACATTGGAAAGTACAAATAGGTTGTAGGATAGCCCTTGCAAAATTCCATTTGACACTCACTAATAGATTCTCTTCATTAACAAATGTCTCTTCGATTAACAAGTAAAATGCAAAATATTTTTGATACTACATCTATACAAGAAATGTGTCACTAATTTGATACTTCATTTTCATCTCCATTCACCAAAAAAAGTTAGGTACTGAGCCAAAATTATATACAAAGTTGTAAAAGAGAAGGATAAAAAATTAATTATGTCAATTTGTAGACATCTTTAAGATTGTTTTGCACTGATGATGAATTTAAAATAGGTCGGAAGCTTGGCAGATAACAATTGAATTAGTTCTTTCATCCACTTGACCATACTGACATCCAGATTATTCGTGAGTGAAGAAGTGGTGAGCCAAGTACACGTGATGTGAAAACATATTCGCCCTCTCCATAAATTTCCAGTATTAGTAGCTGAACACAATTTGAAAAAAAGCTCCTAGAATAAGTAAACAAATCATTAAGATATTTTAATTATGAGATACCGTTCCGTGCAAATTAGGCCGAAACAATGTTTATTAAAGAATGTAATGAAGTATTCGTGAAGCACGGGGTTCATTTAGTTTGGCAATATTGTCTAAGAACAGTTGTTGCAATCCTGGAATGGCCGCTCGGCCAAAGTCGGGACAATTCCTCCTGTCAACAAGTGTTTATAAAATCACGTGAAACTTCGACGGCCGAGGCGAGTCCGTTTTTTTTTTTTTTATTTCGAATCCTTAAGTTTCCTCTGTCATGGTTCGAGTTAACTGAAATAGCCTCTTATTCTAAGCCCTTCGGCATATATCTCAAATCTAAAAAAACGCGAAGATATGTGAAAGGTAGAGAATTGTTTTTTAATCGGCTCTTATTTTCAATTTTCCCTCGGAGGCGATCGTCTTCAATTCGACCTGTGATAAAAATGAGGGGATCCTTGCCGTCTACAACAATGCTGTTGGCATTATTCTAATAACATTTTTAAAAAACCAGTAGGATTTGATTTTTTCACTTTCATAGAGCAAGACAGTGAAACGTCAGTTGCGATGAGCCGACAAGAAGGTGAATATCCGATGCGACTCACCCCGTTTTCCTCAGGTAAAATATAAATCCAATTTTTATTACATTTTTCAATTTAAATATTTAATTACCGTTGGAATGTAACAACCACTTGATAATGCGTAAGGTTCCGTTCATCGTTTCCCGATGAGCCGAAGGTTACTCTCAACCAAAACAACATTTGTTATTATTTTTATTATAATTGACATTGGTGTCATTAAACTCGAATTGTTAAACGTGCCTCGTACCGTCTCATTTTTACTCTTTTACCCCGATTAGATTCGACAATCTCTTCTCGAGGTTCTCTCTTACCACGTTTTCAAAACAGTTCAGGTAGATTTATCTTTTACGAGGAAGTAGCTGGCTAAAACTCAAGAATATGTCATTTCTGACAGCTTTAAATTGTATAATATAATTTGGTAACTATCTACTTTAGCTTCAATATGTTTCTTCAAACCGAATACAAATGGTTGCCCATCTCTTCCATCTTTTACAGCTTGTAACATTCAGTAGAATTCGATATGCCTTAAAAACTAACGTTCAGGTTATTCAAGATAGCCTCTGACCCTTCCCAACCATTTTTAGGTCTCCTGGCCTAAGGAATGGTTGGATAAGTATTCATGTCTCCATCTTTTCCAAAATGATGGGAACATTTGTTGCACCTTACGCCATCTTGGGAGTGTTGACTGGATAGCCTCTTGAAGATCCTCTTCCGTTAAGATGTAAAGGCGTCTCCTATCAAGAAGTGGCCAGGAGTGAAAGGTGAATGGTCATTGGGACTTGGACTAAGTGTAAGAATTGGTCAGGAGTTTAAGATTTATTCTGTTAATAAAAGAAATATAATTAGTTCCTCATAAGTGAACATTTTATCTCCCACAACCCTTCTAGTGAATTTACAAAATTTTACTGCTGAAACCACCAAATTCTGGTGTTTGTGGAGGTATGAATTTCCAGGTAATATTTTCACTGGCTAAAATAGTTAGCTACATGAGGGTTTTGTCTTGCTCTGCAGATTGAATGATTCAACTCACTAGCTGTTCCTACGAAATTTGTGTCATTATCTGACAACACTAATTTTGCTTTTTCTTGCCTCGCAAAAAAATCTCTTTAAAGCAGCTAGGTAGGAAGCTTTGTGTTGTTGTGCTCACATAGCTATAGTACAGCTACATAAGCCTTTTGGAGTTGTGCATTCCTAATGGTATTCAGTTTAATTGTGAATGGGCCACAGGGCCGGTCATTGAAGCATCATTACTCCTGTTCTTGGAAGATAGTTGGGACCAGTTGAAGTGGTTTTGCTAGAGTGCATTTCAGCCCCTTTACCCCTACTTCTACTCCCTGTTCTATCTTTGACATTGGTATACAACATTAGGGCCCCAACTTGAAACTTGGGTCTTCCTTTCTTCCAAAGATTTGTTATCTATGATAACTTTATTTTCACATCAGCTGGTTGCCAGAACCACTTTCATCATATATTAATGTACCTATGGTAACTTGAAAAGAGTCTTCAATGTTGAGCTTTCCTCTCATTTTGTCAGGAACTATTATAGCAATCTCATTTATTTTCTCTCCAGCATTTTTTGATGTCTTCTCATTAGATTTGGTTTTATTTCTTTGTTAATAAGGAGTCTTGGCACTCTCCATTGCTGTTGTGGGGCAAGAATACATTGGCCCTGTTATATTAAGACAAGCTTAATTTTTGTAGACTTTGCAGTTTGTTTTCTGTCTCCTTGTTCAATATTTTTACCACCATACTTCATTTGTGACCAGAGGTCTGACCATTGTGGTGTATAACCATCCTGGGGTTTACTCCACAGTTTTTACTGAATTGTCTGTGGCCAGTGCTTAGTTGAGCCTTTGCTTTATTTACCTGCAATGCCTATGCATGCCTATGTTGCTATATGTTTTCTCCGCTTGAGCTCTGAGTCAAGGGTTATACCTAGGTACTTGGTTTGTCCCAGATAATGGGAAATTTTAGGCAAAGAGGTAGCAGACATACTAGCGAAAGAGGGACCCTTGGAACATCACTTAGCCCCAAATCTATTTCCTGGTATAAACTACACAAACTGGAAAAACAAAACCAAAAAAATTAATAATTACTGAAAGCATAAACCAGGCATGAGGCAAGGAAAAATACTACTCCCAAAAACAACTCTATTGGAGAACGAGGAAATCCTACTCATTAGAAAGTAATTAAAAACTCTAACTGGTATATTTACTGGTTATACTCCAGTAAAATACCACTTAAAAATGGAACTACTAACAAATGACCATGTCGATTACATCCAGAAGAGACATAGATAATAGAACATATCTTGTTCAACTGGCCTGCAACACCATTTTGGCCAACGTATGTAACTTGCATATTTGATCATGGATCTGATGATCGAAAGATATGAGCATAAGATTATTTTAGGAGTTGGCCTCCAAGTTCTACTGTAGTCTTTTGCATATCAATTGTGCCTAGCTCTGGCATGGGTAATAACAGAGCTATACTTTAACAAATCATCACTTGTAAGAGTAGAAATTCGGTCTGAGATTTCTGAAAACTTCTGACTACATGTATGCACGACATAGAAATAGATTATTCATTGAACCTTTTAATATCTCTTAAAAGGAATACAAATTCTTGAGGCATTCATAATAGTAAACAGGAAAATTATATTTGCAATAAAGAAAAAAAAATCAATTTTGTGTATTTTCCTTGCTTTAATAGGCTAGGAATGTAATTTATTTCAATCGGGTTATAAATTTGTTATAGAATGTGTTGGTCATGTTTGATCAAGTGCTATATGATTTCAATTTTGTTGTTCAAGTACTTGAAACCATATGTTTCGAAATTGTGAATAGATGTTCATATTTGTTAACCATTTAATTTAGTAATTATAGTTTAATAGTCCTGATGAAATGGATATATTCCTTGAAAGCTCTACAGAAGAACTGAGTATTGTTCGTTCCAATTCCCCCCCCTCCTTATTGTTTTTCAATATGTAATTTAATTTGTATAGGCATTACATTACTTGCCCTAGCTGCAATGGTTGCATTTTAGATATAAAATATTTTATCTTACAGTAAATTGTAACAATTTTAACTGTAATAAGTTTATATAATTAGTAGAGTCTAGTGTGTCTGATAGTGCACATCTTATGTTCATTGGAGTAAATCTTTTTCGTATGTTAATTGTCTGTATTGCGACATAACAATATTAACATTTTTTACTTATTCACATTTCTTATTAATTATGTGATATTCTGGAATTTTAATGGTTCATTTTCGATTATAAAATCTTGCAAAGATTCCTGGATTGCCTATGCCCAGTGTGAAATATCCAGTACTTCCAGTCTTGCCAATGTTGTAGCAGCTCTTCCTTGCAAAAATATCCACTTGTCAATATACTGCTTGTCCTGGACAACAGTGAAGAGTTACTCTGTTTTATATTGATCAATTTGCCATGCATATCAGTACCATTGTTCTACCTGATGTTCATATTCGGTGTTCTGATGACAGCATAGCTGTCCGGCGAGTTTTTAAATTCTCTCTTCAAATTGAAGTCATTCTGGTTTCTGAAAAGTCAAAATTGTATCCTACTCAAGTTACACAAATCGGTTGTTTTATTCTCTGAACCTTTAGTCCAAAGCACAATCATGTTTTGACATATCCTGACATCATATGCAAGGAATATTTAATTCTTGAGAAATGTGGTAACTAGGGGAGTTAATTGTAAAAATGATATAACATATTTATATGGTAATTGTTAATCTTTTGCATTTTTCTATTGTATTTGCTATGCAATAATTATATATTTTTTATTGTTCAACAATAGCAATATAAATTTGAATAAAGTGTAGCATTTTTTCAGTAGATGGTTTCTTTTATTATTTAATTTCTTTATTTGTTTACTTCCATACTTTTTGTAATTAAAAAGATTCTATTTTGATAAATAGACGGGGTGCGCTCTTTTTAGTAAAGAAACATATTTTTTAAAAGCCAAAACACCACTTTTTGTCCAACTTATCAATGATAGCTTGATCTAAGAAAGATAAGGCTTAGAACTAGTTCATATTAGTCACTGGTAAATGTGTAATAAGTTGGTTGGTTCATCTGCCAGTGGATCAGTCTGTTGGTATTCTGATTATGGCAGATACACTCGAATTTAAGAAGTTTTGTAGATTATTTTTTGTTGTAAAATTTCTCTTGCTGATTGTTAATGATGTAATCTCAAGTAAAATTTAAATAGATTAATCTTTTATGAATGATGCATGGCTTTAAAAGCAGGTCAAAGTTCTGAGCATTTTTGCGCTTCAAATTCAACCATATAAATGATCAGTGATTTTAAATTCACATGAGTCTTGAAAGTCTTGAAATTTGGTCTGTTAAATTAGATTAGAATTAGATTATCTTCAGAGCTGTTAGGAAAATCTTGTCTGCTATTTTTATGGCTTCAAACACTCTTCAAACATTTTATGAAATTAGAATGTTTGGCGTTTTTAGTTAAAAATATGTTGGACTCCTCGAAAATTGGTCTGTTACCATATGTCATTCAATATTTAGCAAATTTAAAATGGCTAGAATTTAACTTTGAATAATCAAATGAGTGAAAATTTTCAAGTTGTTCTTTGAGGTTTGATCCATAATTTGGAAGTAAATTAGGAGATTATTGTCATCCTCTATTCCTCTTACCAAAATTTTCATTAGGTTGCTTTGCATTAATTAATGAATGAAGTTCGTATTCGCTAGGTATGAATAATTTTGTTAAATTGCTGAAACTTCATATAGAACATTGTGCAAGTCTCATTGACTAGTACCTAATTATTTCAAACTTGTCTAAAATAACTTTCTAGACGTCTAACAGTCTATGATAATTAAAGCTATCAAAAGATTTTAATAAGAGATATTCAATAAGATTTTATTGGTGCATAAATGCTTTTTTTGTAAGTTTGTCATGTAAGATATTTTGTCTTATTATTCAAATCAAGTTAATGCCAACTTTCAGGTATTCTAAATATTCAAAATTAATTAATATTTTGGTTAGTCTACATTTT